CAAATGGGATTCCACAATCCATGTCGATCTGGTCAGTGGGTGGCGCCCTGATTGGTTTTCCCGCGACTCTTCGACCGTTTGAGGCTACTATGGGACACAAAGGCCACTCTGGGCGAGCCTGGGCGAGCCTGGCGTACTGCTGTTGTTCGATTGCTTGGACTTGTGGATGTCCTCCCCACTCATGAATGCAATCAAGCGCACATGAAATCCGACGATTGGTCCTGTGACACTGTGGAGGACATTGGAAGATGAGTTCCATTGAGTTCCTGTAGGAACCACTGAGTGAACCACTCATATTTCATTGTGTGTTTTTTTGGTGGTCCGGCAGTGGAATTAGTAGATGTCCCAATCTCTCAGTAATCTCCTTTCAGCATTTTTCAGCATCAATGTCGCGAAGAAAACATCATCCAGAACCAGGGTTTATTTGGGCATGTCTTAGTGCCCGCTTGTACAGAAGCTGCGATGTTCTTTAAATAGCCGCTCCCAGGATGGGCAACCACCTGCTCTACAACTTTGGCGTCGGCGGCGGCGGCGCTGGGGCTGATCTTTATGGGACGGAGCCATGGACCTTTTACGTGAAGCAGCTTGGAAGAAGGATCGACAGATCCACTGCGGCAGTCGTGCCTTTAAAGGTGCCTTTATGGATAGCACAGACACAGAAGTTTGGGTTGATGACACGTTGATTCCACACCTATTGAGTTCATCTTGATTGGTGGGTGAAGAAGAAAGAGCACCATTCCATTTGCAGCCTGATTCGAGATGCACCTACACTGCCCGCACAAACTCAACGTTGGCCACCACGAGCGGTTATTGCCTGTTTTTGAGGAACCTTCTGCTGAACTTCAACATTGCAGCCCTTCTTGCCGCGCCAGCACTAGCATGTACTTGGCGCCGCTGGCAACTCTTTGTCACCTTACTGCCCATGTATCTCACATTGGCACCTTTGTGGCAGATGGGACTTTTGGTCATCAGGAAGCCGTTTAACCTGTACCGGGCTGTGCCTGTAGCTTAAAAGCATGGCGCCATACTTCGCCACTTGTCTCGGAGTCAGGCCCTGTTTTTCAAGATGGCGCACAAAGAGGAGCGTCGCGGCCTTTGCTCTAAAGAGCTTGGACATGTTCACCGCAGCTATCCGCAGCTAGCTAGGGCACTACGGTCCTTTGGCCAAGGCTTCTTGACGATGACGTATCCGCATATTTGCCTTGCTGCAGCACCTTGGATAGGCAGTAGTGAATTAATGGAGTCCCTTGCCTCCACTCCAATTTTTGCAACATTCCTTACCTGGTGTCGGAGTTTGATCGAACAATAGGGCACTCGAGACCTCAATTCTTGAGCGTTTGCATGGAAAGTTGGGCTGCCTGCTTGCAGGAGACTAGTGCGTCAACCTAACCTGAGATTTGATGAGATTTGCCCACCATGTTCATGCCCGTGAGCACAGCTGAGCACAGCACAGTAATCAAGGCAGTGACTTTGGATGCCTTCCTCAGTCTCGTGACCAAAGTAGCCCCTTTGGCTGCACTTCATCCTGACTGATCATAGGAGAGTTCAAGTTCGTTCGTGGAACGCTGAGATATTGCTTTCTTATGTGTGTGGCCTGGAGGTCAAGTCCAAGACCGTCGTGGCTACTGGGCAGATTTCAACCCTTGGTTTGAGAAAGCATTTAATTTGTTGAAATTCGACAGCCAATTTATCCTCAACGAGTGGAACGGTGGTATTGGGTCCTTCCAGGGCACGGTCCCTTGTGAGCCGCTGTGTATTGTGCCAGGAGCTCGATTGAAACAGTTTCAATTGTTCCTTTCAGGAGTAGCCAAGCCCCTATGAGTGCTTCATTGGATAGATTGTTCTTGTTGGGTTTGTAGTAGGGTGACCTGCCACTCTTGTTCACCCTGGCTGCAGGGTCTCTTAGCTTTCTCCATCATGACCTTCTACTGTGGTGTCTCATTCTCGCGCAGTGCTGCGCTTTGGCATCACTTCAAGGCTCCTTTGCAGATCTATGACGCATGGCATCGCGTCCACCCGGGATGGGTGGCGACAGATGGGAGACTCCCAGATCATGATGCGTTCATTCCGACAGAGTTACATGAATGGATGGGGGGTATTATGGCCAATGCATGACAGTGGACAAGTGACACCAGTTTTTCCAAGGAGAGCCTCTATTACTCGAATTTGACATCTTCCAGAGCTCCCAGCGGCTTGTGCGTCGGGAAGGCTTGAGTGGGCTTGACCAACCAATGCAAGCTCTCACTTCGAGACAGACCGACATTGTGAAGATTTCACATAAGATTTCATTCTGATGTCATGCTAGAAGCTGCTGGTGAGGAGTGGTATCGCTTTCCATCCAGCTTTTTTCTCCCAGAGGTGGAGGCGAGAACCTGCACAGTTGGCACCACAGAATCCATTGGCACCACAAAACCACATGTCCGTCCTCCAACTCTGGCATGCGATTGATTGTCCAGAAACTTTTGGCCGTGAAAAAGGGTTAAACTGCTGGAACACTTGCAGCATTCTGTAGCTTGGCCTGTTTGCTTATGTTCTTTGCGTGCTGCTTTCCTGAATTGTCATGCAGCATTGACGACCACCATACTTGGCAAGTAGCAAAAACCTACAGTAATTACTATATATACACTCTGACTCACCAACATGGAAGTGGAAAACCAATTGTTGGTAGAGGAAAGTAGTCTTCCATGTTAGTGACTCAGGTGACTCAGAGGGTAGTTTTGCAGAGGGCATCATATCATCATATCCCATCTCCTTGCAGTCCACAAGAAGCTATTAGAAACAAGTGCATCGCTACTAGTAACAAGTGCCTTACTATATAGTAGTAACAAGAAGCTATTAGAAACAGTAAGTAAATTATGTTGTTCCGTTTCGTTGGTGTTTGCATACGTTCCACCAGCATCTTCGAGGTTACAATAAGATGCGGTGAAAACCCCGAACCGAATCAGCCGCTCAAAGCGGTGGACCGTCTCTCTCTCTCTCTCTCTGGTTCTCTCCGGTGGAATGGTGGGACTGCTGTCTCCCACGCCTTGATGCCATGAGCGGGAGCCCCGCGGATGTCTTCAATCGATTCTGCCAGTTGCGAGGACAGACACCTGACATCCAGTGGCCTGGCTAGCAATAAATACAGCGGCACCCTTGTCATTTGTATTTAGTAATGTGCTCTTGACTTTGGTATGTATATAGAACAGCCAGTAGAACAGCCATAGCAGAATTCAGTTCTTACTGTTTGGTGTTGTGAGAGGAAGATAGAGGCAGAGGCAGTGATGATGTTCAACATTGATAGATGAACAAAAAGATGACTTCAAACGTAGACCTTGAATGAGATAGGTGGGCGATGTAAGAGTTCTGCAGATTCTAGAGGTAGGAGATAGACGGTTGGGTCTTGTTTCGAATAGGCTCACGGTAGTCGGGCAGCTTCTGGTGCCGTATGGTACTAGGCTTGCCTCTTCAACGCGCGGGCGAAGGCCCAAAAAGCCATGAACAGGAAAGGTAAAGTAATCCGGTCCACCTATTAAAAACACGCCCGCCCTCCCCCCTAATAAGGAAACCTCGGTCGCCTGTATTTTTTAATAGGGGGTCCCTGAAATCGGGGTGGTCCAAAATAGGGTCACCTGGGAAGGGCTTCAAAACCAAAAAGTCACCCAGGAAAATGTTATATAACCTCCTTTATTAAACTCATATCAAAAATTCCAACCTCCAGATCGAAGGGTCTTCCTTTTCCCCCCTACAAAAACCTTTATTAGAATAGTGATTCTTCATTAGACTAACGACTAACAACTAAAGCTTTCAAAAGGTGATGTCGCTGTGCCATGCGGTTTTGCGTGACCTCGGTGGAAAGTGCGTTTGCGTGAGTCCGTGCCATTGGGGGAAGGAAAGCCTGCTGGTGTAAACACGGCGTGTCATGGTGGATAGACAGGGTGGACAGAGGTGGGCAGTTACGGTTGCTTTTGGAACCTAATAGAAAAAGACTGCGCCAAAATCGGCAATGTTGGTAGTTTAGTCGCGGCTTCGCGGTAACTTAACAACGAATATAAAACGTATTTAGGGGGTTCCGACATGACTTTTAAGTAGGGGTCCGCTTTTAAATAGGTACTCGAGATTACTCTACACCAGCCCGGTTCTTTTCTGTGCTGCGCCCTGCGCCACTGCGGGTCCAGCAGCGGCATCGACCTTCCTCAGCGTGTCCGTGTGGGACGGCTGCGTTGTAGCCAGACGCTGCGGAGAGAGAGAGAGAGAGGGAGAGAGGAAAGGTAAAGCAAACCGAAAGGCAAGCATCACAAGACAAAAGAAAGGACGCTGACTTACAGGTGCAGAATGTGTAGAAACAGTGAGTAAGCGTTAGGCTTCAGCAAGGAAGGGTATGCAGAAAACCGGGGGTTTGGTGCAAAAACGGTTTGGACTGAGCAAAATGGAAAACACCAAACCGACTCGCATAGCTACTCGCATAGCTGGCATCGCTCCTGACTCAAGGGACTCTTTGGGTGGCAAATCGTGGCGGTTTGGGAGACCTTGGATGCTGTAAAGCACCGAGCCTCAGGGAAGAGTTTGTTCACTGATGTTCATTGGATGTGGCATATCACTGCTTCTTTTCAACATCGCGTAAATTCATGGCCTCAAACACTGTAATTAGCGACAACAGCCACTGTGGCCATTTTGTGGAAGGGGAATTTTTGTCCCCGCTCGCCTTACTCCAGGATCATATTGCAGGTCAGGTATTTCAGGCTGTGTTGGTTACTGTATGTCAGGTGTAGCTTGCCTGGACTATTTCTACAATGGAGCCGAAAGGAGAGAAACGACAATCAATAAAAACAATGAAAGGTAAAAAACAGTGGAAAAAAACAGATGAAGGTGTTGAGGAGGAGGTTGTCACCTGGAGATGGACGATGGGGATTTACTCCGCCCTAAACTTGCCAAACCCAAACCGGGTCACCTTCTTTGGCCCCTTGTGACGATTTACTCTGAGGTTCGAAAAAGAAGGTCCATCCGGACATCGCTGCACCATGACCGTCCCAGGATGTCCCATCCGGACAGTGTCTCGTCGCAAGGGGTGGCAGAGTGCATGGCGGAAAAGTCCATGCGGCAGAAGTCCATGGACTTGTCCGGCCATGGTGATCTTTTCAAAGACCTTCGGGAATAATTAGGAACAATCAGCTATAGAGCCGCTTTGCGGGTCTCTCTTTTTGACAAAGCCACAAAGCAATACCACCCACACATTCTTTGGCATTGAATTGTAAAACAATGGAACACGTTTTGGCTTACTGAGAGACATTCCGTGCTCCCAGCAAGGCCGCTGTTGCTCCCAGCAAGCAGGCTGCAAAGACGAAAGCAACATGCGATTATGTCCAGATTCTGCAGAACCACGGTCTTATGCAAACACCTGCAAAGATCCAGCAAAAGCGGAAGAATACCTCGCATCATTCCCAGCCACCTTCTAAGAAGGGAGCTGTGGGAACATCTACATCTACTGGTCCAGTGCCAGTGGGTCGGTTTGAACCTGCAGTTGCCCATGTTAACGATGTCCTGTGCGGAAAGATCGTGGAAGCGCTGAAGCTGAATCGAAACTCGGCATGTATGATCTGTTAGATCAAACAATGAGACGCTTCCAGTTTGACAGTTCCAGCTTTGGCTTTTGCACCTTGAATGGCTTTAAATGGCTGCGCCGTTTCTGGTTGTCGGTTGCTCCGAAGGCATGGCGAAATGCGTGCAAATCTTCCAGGACATCCGCAGGGCAAAACAAATCATCAGCCTGAAGCAGTTGGCAAAATTTGCCGACAGCATGGGCATGCGTATCTTTTTGCACCGAGTTCGTTTTTCTTTGGGTGTGAGGGGGGTAGAGATCAGGGGCTCCGAGGAAGACATCCCCAGTCGCAAAGAACTTCAACAATCTCAAGAAGTTTTATCCTAGCCATTTTTGAAGATCTGCAGGTACTCCGGAAGCACAGGCCATGGAGTTCTTTGATGCCATCAAGGCATTGGATTTGGCTGATCACTCATCACCTGCCGCTCAAAGGCGCCACTGAGAGAGGTGAAAAGTGTTCGGACATTTTCGAACTCAAAAAGGGAAGGTTCTGCTCATCACCGAAGTCCGTTTAGAGAACCTTCCTGGAACCGTTGAACGGTTTTGAACCGGGAGTGTTTGGACCCTCGCAGGTATTTCAGCCGTTTCGCGCGCTGGGCCATTCGTGAGTTCCTCGCAGATGCAAAAGCCGCAATCAATCAAGCCAAGAGCTTGCCAGGCGCTCGAATGGATGAAAAAGGTTGCCGACAAGAAGTCTTTATCATGCTTGCTTGTTTGATGTTTTTGCAATGCACCGTATTTCCCTCACAACTCTTGGTTCCTTTTCTGAAGACGGTTTTTGATGGTTTTTGGAGATTGTCTGGCAAATCGGTAAATCCCTCTATCTCTGCAGTTCAGCCCCAAGGAGGCCTGAGGCGGCTTTGTATGCCTTGCTCAGTGATATCCAGCATGTGCAACATGACTCGACCAGGCCACGTCCTGGAGAGGAATGGCTGCTGCCTTCAACAAGCACACACCAAGGTGGGCTCCAAAGGCTCGCAGCTCATGGTGATCCTTGGAATCTATCGAACTACCATCGCTCGTCAGAAGCGAGCCTTGAGGATCTCTTCGTGACCAGTTCATCTCGACCGGTGAGTGGTAATACCGCCTTGTGATTTGTTTTGTTTCCCATTGCTTCCTGATTTCCTGATGAAAGCAAACAGCCGGCTGAACATTTGCACTGTCGGAGTTTCCCTTCTTATTGATTTTTCTTTGCCTGTTTGGGGAGACATGGGGAGACGGTGCTTTTGTTTTTGGCCGCATGCAAGGACACCGCAGAGCCCGATTGGTTCCGCCACTTTCCAGCGTGGCGACTGGTTGCTGTTGACCTGGCCTCCAAGTTTACGGCCAACTGAGCTGGTCACTGCTTCCAGTCCTGGTCAGATTTGCGCAGAAGCGGAGATTGTCGCAGTGCAGACCATGCCTCAGGTTTGCTTTGAAGTGAAGATGATGGGCGAAGCGGCGGATGTGATCTATACTTTGACTTAGTTTGTAGTTTATGTTTTTTGTGGGGGGGTCTTCAAACTGAAGTCATGTAACATTACAATCATTCAACCCATAAAGATCCCTTTTGGACCTTGGTTTGACTCCGGTTCCAACCCAGGCTGCGGTGAACAGACTGAAAGACAAGACTTGCCGAGTCGACAAGACCCTTGCCTGTGCCGGTTGACCAGTGCAGATGATAGACCAGGCCTTCTTGACGTTATCACCATGATCATCGCATCAATATACAGCTTGGCTGGCTATAGCATGGCTGTTAGGGACTTTAACTTTTTGCTGCATAGTGCCACAGGTTATTTGTAAATAGCTGGAAAAAGTTTCCCACACGACTATGAACCACAGATGTGTTCGAGGAAAATAACAACAGATGTTCGAGGTGGTTTGAGCCGGCCAGTGCCACACGCTTTGAAAGCGCTAAGATGCTATGCACGTAACCCATTACTTTGCGGAAGGGCTTCGCGGCTTGGGCAACTTCAGCTCGACTGAAGCATAACAGGGTTCGGACTGGGTGGACACCGAAGCCTGTAAATCATTGCCTGCGTGTACGGGTGCAGGGCGCTTCGTGTATACACGCCTGACATACAACGACAGGTGACGGAGTCAGTAAAGGAAGACGTGTGAATAGCGCACTCAGCAACAGTGCTGGGCGCCATCGGGCGCTCAAACGAACCTCAAACGCACCGAATCTCCACCAAACTATCAAGCACTTCAAACGGTCGTCAAGCCAGCCCTTGGCTTTTGTAAGCTGAACGGTGCTCCGGATTTTCTGCAGCGCTCCAGTTTCTAACTTGGACAGCCGTGACAGGAACGAAGGTTGAAATAATCTTTTTTAAATGTGCTTTGGGAGGGGCCATTGGTCATTGCCGGCCACACATGCTACCTTTGCCTGCAGCCGTTTCTGGCGCATAACTTTACTGGGTCAGAGCAGGGTGTAGAGGCGGGGACGTTGAGCTAGGCAAGTCAACTGCAAGGACAGAAGCTTGGGTCAGTTGGCGTGTGAGCGTGCATGCGCCCCTGTGTGTGTGTGGGTCTGCTTGTGGATGTGACAGCCAACTGCCGTCACGCTATCTATAGGGTCTCACGTGCCAGTGTAAGTAGGACATCCTGTCAATGAAAGAAGCCGGCTGCAAGCATCAATCGCACAATTTCGAAATCAAGAGCTGTGCCCCCTTGTGCGTTGACCCCCGGGGGTCGACGCACAACATACCCAGGAACAGTTTGCGGAGACCATTTTTCAGATTGAACGCGCAAGGGTGCTCCAAGAGGCACTTTCGTCTACGTGACCCAACCCTAATTCAACATAGCCTTCCAAAAGCCATCACCAATGCCTAACACCCACCAGGTTGTCTCTTCCACAATTGCATACCGTGTGGCTATGTTGTGCGTTGACCCCCGGGGGCCGGCCGACGCACAAGGGAGCCAGCTCTTTCTTTGTCCAGTTGTGCATTTGAATCTTGCGGCCTCCATGTGTGGAAGCGCCAGTCCGGGCAGCGCTTTGCGGTGAAGACTCTACGTTCCGTGGCGCCGTCGCTGTATTATTTTCACTGGCTGCCGTTGGGCATTCTCCTTTTGTATGCTTGTTCTATCATGTCGGTGTGATTGACCAGTATCCACGACTGCCGGCATGAATTCTCAAGCTTCACATGGATAGGGTAGTTGGTGGACTTGGTGCCTTGCTTCATGGCATCCCATTTGCTTTCCTGCCCGGCTCACTGCGCCCCGTCTGTGTTCGGGCCCTTTGTGATTGGAGTCCTCTGTGGGTTCTGCCTTTGTCTCCCAGCCTGTGTTTTGGGCCTCATTTTGCTCTTCACATACTTCCCTTCGCTCTTTGCACCTCCTACTAGAGCCAATACTGTGAGAATCCTTTCCAGGAGATTGGGGGGGTATTTGCATGAGCACCAGCAGTAAGGTCCAGCTCGATTCGATTAGACTCGAACTAGCTACCTTAGCCGCCGAAGTACGTGTTTTGGGGGACCGTGTCCAGAGCCTCAGTTCGCTTCTCGACACCTGGGCCGAGCAAGAGGGCCTGTTGACAGAGCCGGAGTGGGACATCATCGAGGACGAAAGGCCTCCGTTTCATTTCGATGAGGGCGAAACGTATCCGGGAGCAGGGAGCGTCAGGGCAGGTGATCCGGAGCCTCAGGTTCCTTCGTGTGCGTTGGAGTTGCGCAGGTCTCGCCTGAAGTCAGCATCAGTCCCATTAGAGCCGAGGGTTTCTAGAGCCTTTCACTGTGGTCACAGGGCTTGGTCGGCCATTGTTCAGAACACTGAGTATCGCCCGGCAGGGGCAGTCGTGCACCTTCCAAGTGCTTACTAGGTGGTACTGCGGGGCCCCGGCCTCTTGAGCCGCTCAGGACAGCATCTCGAAGGCAAGCAGTGCAGGCCTTAGAGCGCATCGATCATAGCGCAATCATCGAGGAGTTCCCGACTCTTACTGAGCTGCAAGTTTTTTGCCTAGGAGCACGGATCTTGGTCCCTGCTCTTAAGCAATGGAGAAAGCGCAATTGAGATACGGTGAATCGGGCGAGCCTAGCTTGCTCGTGTTGCATGTTCCATCCAGTCTTGCTAAAGGAGGGGTGGAGAAATTAGTGTATGCCTTGCCGATTCTCTCCCGAGAAGGGGGCTTTTTGCTCGCAGTCCCTCTCCAGACATTCGAAGATAGTGTCCTAGAGGCCAGACCGATGATGAAGCAGAGACTTTTGGCCCGTCATTTATTGCAGGAGCTAACCTCGTTGAGGAGGATGATGAGGGAGCTGTGGTGCCGGTGGATGCATACCCAGTCGAAGTCTTGCTCATAGATGTGCTGGATGGTGTTTTGGCTAGACTCAGGGAATGCGGGTGAAGAAATTGGCCAATTTGATACAGATTATCCTGCAGCACTTCCAAGTACTTCGGAACTGGTTCAGGCTTCCCATGAATGGATTGCTTCCAGAGGCATTGGCCGAGCAAATTTTTACTCTGCTCGAGAGGAGCCGGAGGCGCCAGTGCCAAAGGGAGCCGAGCAGGTCCAAGCATTGGCTGCGCTGCAAACAGCAGCCACCCCCAAGGCAGAGGTCACGTACAGCCCCTCTGTCGCACCTGCACTAGGACCGTCAGGTGGTCCTGCTCCAGAGCTGGCAACAAGGATGAGACCGCTGTCACACAGCCTGGCAGCGCTCCCAGCGCCAAAGGTGGGTTTTGCGAAGACACCGGCAGGCCTTCTAGGCCCACCACCGAAGACGAAGAAGCCTTCTCCCCTCAACCTTTTGCCTCCAGAGGAGCCAGTCAATCCCTTGGCACAAGAGAGCACGGATCCCATGCTGTCGGCGCTCGCCCAGCAGTCTTCGGCCATCACCACCCTGGTAGCGCGCCTGGCAGGGCAGGCTGGGGACCCCTTGACAGACTTGCAGTCAGGGGCAGGAGGGATCAGCTCTTCGTCCACTACAAGAGGCGTTGCGAGAAGAGAGAAGATGCAGTCCGATTTGGCGCTTCGCCAGAGTCAGTACTGGATGGCTTTCCTTCAGCAGGTGTCTCGCCGGATGTATCCCTCCAGGCCGGTGCCAACCTCCACAGAGATGGCGAAGGACGCCCAGCTGTCATTCCTTTCGTACCTGGAAAGGTACGGGGCTTTCAAGCAGAGCATGCAGGGAACTGGGAACCATCCTGTGGATGGTTGGTTATTTGGTAGGTGCAGCAATTGCAGACGACTTCGATGGTGTAAAGGAGCACCTTGCGTTGTTGGTGACTGCGTTGGACCAAGCGGCATTGGACTAGTCATGGGACACAGCTTTCCTGATCACCCTGATCGAGGAGCCACCGCCACAGATATTCATGGAGAAGGCATCAAGCTCAGGCCTGGTCAGGCCATTCACCGCGTTGATGCCGAGTGCTTCTAGCCTTTTTGAAGGATCTCGACATCCTGTCGACTCGAAAGCAAGAGCAGAAGAAGAAAGGGTCAGCCGCTACCACCGTGACAAGCGAAGCGGCGGGGGAAACATCACCAAAGAGAAAGCCTCGGTTCCCCAAGAAGCCAAAGGGGGAGCCGACCCCGAAGTCGTGATGACGGCAAACTATGAGCCTGGGAATGAGGCTTCATTTGAAGGAAAATCAGTTCCTGGGAAGTGTTTGAATTCGCCTGGGCGTGGTAGTGCGCCTGACTACGCTTGCAAAAAAGTTGATGGAAGAGAGGCAGATGGAAGTCCGCCTATCCGTGAGAGTGCCTCGAAGCAGGCGCCCCGCAATGAAGCCGAATTTGATGCAGTTTTTCGGACTGAAGGCTACAGCTACCCGAAATGGTGCGCACAGCTGACAAGTCTGGTGCTGAGGACCCGAACTCCTTTCTCAGCATTACTGGCACGAACTTTCCACCTGCACCGCGTCTCAGATGCGGCGCCGACTTTTTTCCCGGCCCCGCTCCCCCCTGGGGAGTGGTTTGCTCGGATGCCCATGACCTTTCCTTGAAGAAGAGAAAGAGGACCCATCTCAACAGGGCTGTTCACATCATTGTGCTGGCGCTGAACTTCTGGCACCAGAGCGGCAAAGTTGATTTTGAGTCTCTTGGGAGAGCGCCCACCTTGCAGCATCAGTGCCTGTATGCAAGGATCAAGTGCTTGATAAAGTCGGAGGGCCTAGCTTGCTTTGAAAAGTTGGCAAGCTCGGGTCGTCGTTTACCTCAATTAGTTGCAAGACTGGGGGAGCTGTCAGAGGCCTTGACCTTTCTGGGCCCGTCCTGCAGTCCCTACGACAGAAGCTTCCAGGGCTAGTGGTCCGGGGCACCTGCCACTGGGACGCCGCAGAATACCTAAGCGACGAACTGTGCATGGCCTACAGAGAACCAGCCTCTCTGCTTTTTGAGGCGGACGACTACGGCCAAGACAGTTGGCCCGTAACCAATGATCCTGAAGCAGAAATTGTAAAGCTGGCAGAACTGTGGGACAGGAATGGTTTGCTGTTCGTCCATGATGGCTTCTTTTTAGACACAGAGCCCGAATGCAAGACACGCATTTTCAACGCCTACAAGTCGTCGTCTGCTGACCGTCAGATAGGAGACAGACGTGCCAGAAACAGTGTGGAATGCAGAGTGAAGGGTCCAAGTGTTGACCTGCCCTGTGGGTTTGACCTTGTTGATATCCACTGCAATCCGAAAACGCACTTTTTGGCAGTCGCCGTTACAGATAGAAAAGATTTTTATCATCAATTCCTTGCCTCCCCAAGTAGATCTCGAACCAACACCATCGGTCCGTCCGTTGAAGCATCATCCATAAGCCATACTCAAGGATATAAAGATTTTTAGCTACGGACTGCCCGGCTCAGGTATCGCACAAGCCTACATGGGGATAGGCTGGGACAGAAAGCCGAGTCACGTGCAGTCAAGGCGCCGCGCCGCCTGTTTTGTTGCTTTCAGTCTATACTCCAGGGTGATCACGCCGGAGTCGACATAGCTACATGTGCACACGCCACCTTGCTTGAGGGAGAGGGTCTACTTTGTGAAGCCTCCAGACTTCGTAGCTCTAGGCCCCTTTATTCCCAGAGCGATTGTGAAGGCCTCTGCATCGATGACTACTTTGCTATAAGTAAAGAGGCCCGAGGAACACCCCTTGAAAACTCACGTGCTTGCGCCAAGGTCCAGCAAGCTTTGTCCGCTTACCAGGAGCAGAAAATTTTGGGGAGCCCAGAGAAGGATGTGCTTAGCAGCAAAGCTAAAGTAGTGGGGGCCACCGTTAATGCCTCTCCAGAAGCATGCAAGAGGGGGGCTCGTCCTGGTAGGAGCCCCGATCGAAAAGAGGTTGTCTCTCTCCTTCATTAGTTTGAAGCTAGCTGCATTAAGTCACACGACAGATGTGCTGCACACCTGCCTCCTCGGGGGTTGGGTCTCCGCTTTTATGTTCCGACGTCCTTTGATGTCGTTGTTTGCCAAGGCCTTCACTTTGGTAGACGCCACTGGTGTCAATGCTTCGGAGCCTAAGATGGTAGGGCTCACCCGTGCGGTTGCCACTGAGCTGACTCTCGCTGCGGTTCTCATACCGTTTGCAGCGTCCGAACTAAATGCCGAATATATGAGTAGGGTGCTTTGCACTGATGCCTCTTCCTCTAAGGGAGCGGTTTGTTCGGCTGAAGTCCCTCTTGAAGTGAATGAGGTTTTGTGGAAATCCACGAAAAGCAAGGAGGCCTACAGTCGTCTTCTCTCGCCCGTTGAGGTTCAGTTGCGGAGGCACGCCGATATCGAAGAGAAGGGTGAAGAGGTCGATAGGCAGGAACCGACTGGGCCCTTCAGGCCTATTGCGTATCGTTTCTCCTTCATTGAGCTCTTTGCCGGATCTGCCAAGATAACCAAAGAGATGGCGGCCAGAGGGTGGTCCGTGGGTCCACCCATAGACCTTTCGTTCAGTCCAGAATATGACATCTCAAAGCATTACGTAATGTCTTGGATCTCCTACCTGATCACTGAGTGCTTGATAGAGGCTTTTTGCGTGGAGCCACCATGCACCAGCTTTTCTATCATGCGCCGGCCCCAGCTCAGGTCCAAAACAGAGCCGTACGGCTTTGACACCAACGACCGACAGACTAGAATGGGCACCTTGCTCGCTCTTCGGGGGGTTGCAGTGTTTGGCTTTGGGGGACAGAGCCGGGGTGCCGGGGTGGCTTGAGACACCATACAGTTCTCGTCTGAAGAGCCTCCCACCTTATGAGAAGATCCGAAGTAGGGAAACGGCTGACTTTTGTAGGAGTGATTCTTGCGCTTTTGGTTCACCTCACCTGAAGAGCTTCGCTTTCCTCAGTGTCTTGGCCCCTTTAGCTCATGCATGCCGTAGATGTAGCTGCTCCACCAAACACCTGGTGGTGCAGGGAAGATTCACGAAGGACAGTGCCATGTACACGGATGGTTTGGCCGCAGCCCTTGCTTTGGTACTTGATGAGGCTATTTTAAAGCAGAGAGAGCGAAAGGCTTTCTGGGACCGTATTGACACGGCCGGCCTTGAAAATGCTTTAGTAAACCAAGTTGCAATTGAGGCAAGCTGGGAGACCGAGAAAGCTTGGACTTTTAAGAAACCCTCGCACATCAACATACAGGAGTGTGTTTCTGTCCTTAAACATGTTGTCAGGTGCGCGCTTTCTAAGGGGCGCTCCTCTTCGCTCGGGCTTAGCCCAGTCATAGCACGATTTGGGGCAGTCTGTGTGGCTGCTGGTTTGTACTTTTGCCTCCCCTTCTGTCCGACCCGATTAAATGCAGCAGACGACCCTACCAGGGACGTCCCCATTCGAGAAGGTCGTGAGAGCCTTAGTGCACTGAGCCTTAGCTTGATGGAGCTGTACCAGCTCTCGAAGTGTAGGGGGCTTAGGAGATGGGCGGCAAATTGGGTTAGACTGACCCTGTTACTGACTGAGTAGGAACATCGACTTCCCTTTCTTTCGTGACAGGAGTGATTTCAGGACGCCTCATGTTGCCGAGCTTCCACCTTTCTCAAACCGATCCTTCCCTGTCGGATTTCGACCAAACCCTTGGCTATCCTGGAGAGGGGCCTGTCCCCTTCTTCTTTTGCCTGTGCTGGGCTTTGTTTGGCTTTTCCCGACTTGAGCCGGGCGGATGTTCGCTTTCGTGGATTTTTGCTGCCATTTGTTCATCAGCCATGGCAGCGCCTCTACACCCAAGAAATGCTGGTAATTTGAGCAGGGCGAAAATCAGAGAAGGAAGGGGGCCCCTTCCTACAGGTAGACCTGTACTGAAGGTCACTGAAAAGCACAGAGAACAGCTGCTCGAAAGTTTCCGTGCATGGCTGGCAACAAGAGGCGTTAGTGCTGCGGAACTTTTTGCTGACACCTACCACAACGTTGAGGAAATTAACGTCCTCCTCTCCAGCTATGGCAGAGCTTTGTACAAGGCCGGGAGGCCGCTGGCACATTACTCGGAAACAGTGAATGCAATCAGCAGTTGGAAGCCCCAGCTTCGCAGGGTCCTTCAGGGGGCTTGGGACTTGGCTTACAGCTGGGTCAAAACAGAACCTTCTACACACCATACTGCGATGCCGCCTCAGGTACTCATGGGTATGCTGACGTGCTGTCTGACGTGGGGCTGGATTCGTCTAGCAGGCTGCCTAGCCCTGGCCTACAAGGTCTCCTCCAGGCTGGAGAGCTCCTACTTGCAAGAAGACAAGACCTTCAGCTGCCTTCGGACCTGGGGGTCCCGCAGAGTTCCTGCTCCTCTCCATACAGGAGCCCAAGACTCGCTTCACCACGGCCAGGCACCAGTCGGCCAAGGTCGACATCCCTGACCTTGTTGAGGTCTGTGAACTAGCCTTTAGAAGGTTGAAGCCTTCTGATGCTTTGTGGAACATGAGTCCTCAGACACTACGCAACAGGTTCAAGAGCGTCATGAAAGCCTTGGACCTGCCGGAGAGCGCCCATGCAGGCCTGCGCCCACTAGACCTGGGATCGCTCAGGCCAGGCGGGGCCACCTACCTGTTACAGGTTACGGAGTCAGGGGACCTCGTACAGAGGCGAGGAAGGTGGGCATCTTACCGCATTATGTCCATCTACATACAAGAAGCCTCAACTTCGTTCATGATGCGCTTGCCACTTGAGAAACGCCAGAAGGTTCTGACTCTGGCTTCTTGGTTTCCTGATACTCTAAAGCTGTCTTGGAAATTTGAAAGGGCTTCAATCCCACAAACAGTGTGGTTTTATCTTTTTGCCTCCCACCAGAAAGGCGCTTGAAAAGAGTGGGACAGACGGGAGACTTTGCCGGCCCGGGATGTCAGTGACCTGAAGAACAGGCTGCATCCCTGGCAGT